AAGGAAGGAAGGAAGGAAGGAAGGAAGGAAGGAAGGAAGGAAGGAAGGAAGGAAGGAAGGAAGGAAGGAAGGAAGGGAAGAAAAAGAAAACACCTTTCAGAACAGGGTTTGTTCAGATCTCACGATTGGTGGGAGGGTTAAAACACATTTTTTAAAAAAACTCAACTTGCTAAGAGAATGAGAGAGATTCATTTATTTACTGTCTATTTATATGCCTAGAGCCACAGATGTTAGAATAAGACAGTATTGTCCAGAGTTGTAGCCAAATCGTTTCAAGGAATCAAATTCTAACTTTCTGATGCATCATCATTACTTCCTTTTCAAAGTATGTTTTCAGTCACCCTGTGCCATGTTCATCCTAAAGTACACTTTGACTTTTGAAATGAGATGTCTGATATTAGTTTTAGGTATTATTGGTAAAGGATAGTACTAAATCCTAAAAATGTAAAGTTGGAAACCAGTCTCTCTGTAATGACATATTTAAGGAAAAAAAGGAGTGTGTTAAGAATTTTGTGTAGTTTTCTATTTTATTCCCTGTTTATTTCCACTTTTTTGATAGTATTTGACCTTAATGAGCATTTTAAGAAGTTAAATTATTTTTGACAACAGTGTATGTTTCTAAACATGTATCTTTCTTTTAATCTAAAGAAGGGTTTTTAAAAACTCTAGTAGGCGTAAAAGTACATTACAATGCACATTCTATGCCCAAATACTTGGTGCGGGGACAGTAGATGACATTCTCTATTACCCGATAGACAACTTATGAAAGATGTTGCCAGTTTTATATCTCTGCTCAATCAAAAATTGATGCCTAGTCTTAAATCCGTAGCTCCATATTCATAATCATCCCCTCTTTTTTAACCACTTATTGATAATGATCATCTACCAATAAGCCTTTCATTTTGAAGATTCTAGGCACTTTACCTAATTTACCTTGATAGGATTCATTTCACCCTTACTGCACTCACACATAGCCTGTTCAGAAGTGGAATATAAGAGATGTTAAAAGACAGCAGAAATTGAATTATTTAAAGTAAAATAAAATTTAAAAAGTAAAAGGATGAAACTCTATTGTGAATCTTTTACCTCACATAAAGTGCTAAGGGACCTTTGCTAATCACTGTGATCCAGCCTACAGTTTTATAGCTTCTCCTAATAGGAGCCGAAAATGAATCTGTACATCCCTCAAAGACAGTGTTTCTCAAGTTATTTTCTGCAGGCCTCCTTTTCCCTAAGATGTTAATAGGCTTCTGGGGCGGGGGGGAAGCCATGGTAAAATAATTTGGGGAGACATTGCATATCAAAGCAGACTCTTAGAGATTCGTGGTGAATGTTAGTATATTAAATACTTTGAAAGGTCCTGTGGTTAAAAATTTTTTTCAAAAATATTTAATCCAGCATTTTGCAGACTTTCCTTTTTGTACTATGACAAACTTTTTCTTAGAACACCTGTTAGCATACTAAATATTTAGTGCTGCAATGGAAATAATTTGAAAATTATGCTTTAAAACAAAGCAGAATAAAGTAGCAGCAAAACGAAAAAGAGACTAAAAAGTTCACTGGGTTTTGTTATGGGCTGAATGTTCCTGCACAACTCCCTCCTCTGCCCCCAAATTCATTTGTTGAAGCCTAAGAACCTACTGCGGTATGTTTAGATGTAGAGCCTTTGGGAGGCAATTGGGCCATAAGAAGAGCCCTCATGAGTGGGATTCATTCCCTCATAAGATGAGACACCAAAGAGGTGATCTTTCTCTGCCCTCTGCTACATGAAGACACAGTAAGAAGACGGCTATGAACCAAGAAGCAGGCCCTTACCAGACACCATATCTGCTGGTACCTTGATCTTGGACTTCTCAGCCTCCAGAACTGTGAGAAATAAACGTTTATTGTTGAAGACACCCAGTCTACAGTAATTTGTTATAGCAGCTGAAATTGACTAAGACAATTTAAAAAAATTAATCTCATTGACTATCAATTTGGATTCTGGAGCATACCTGGATTCAGGTATACATTGGATTCAGGGCATATCTGAGCTGGAATATCGTCTCTATCATTCTAACTCCTTTAATTAAATTAAAGTCTGTTAAGCACCAAACCTCAGTATTCTCATCTGTAAAATGAAGGTAATAATAGTATCAAACTCATAGTGGTAGGTTGTGGTGTTACACAAAAGGGCCTAGTCCAGCACTGGACACACAGTAGTGATGATGAAAGATAATGATACTGATAAATAAGAAGGCAATAATAATATACATAACTCCAAAAGAATTTTTCTTAATACCTGATCCTCTTCACTCCCCATCTCCCATCCCCGTTAAATTACCTGGAGTTTTTAGTCCATCTTTCAGTTTGTCAAGCAACGAATAACACTAAATGTAGTCTTTTTTATTATCTTGTAATTATGGGATTGTTTATTATTTTGCATTTTAAAACTTTGTTTTGAATTTCCAAAACTTTTTATTTAATATCTAAAATGTCCTTCTACTAAAATTTTGCTCTCAGCCTCTGAGACTGAAAGCAGAAAATCCAGCCAAGACCACCTCAACTTCTGACCTACGAAACTGGGAGTTAATAATTGGTGTTGTTTTAAACTCCTAAGTTTGTGGTAGTTTGTTATGAAGACTAATATAGTTGGTTACTATTGTTATTCCAACTTCAGGGAGAAGGAATAAGTCATGGAGCAGTTAGCTTAATTGTCCATCCTCTTAAATTAGTAAGTATTGGAGTCAATAAGTGAATCTAAACAGCATGAATCAAAAGCCCACTGCATTCTTCTGCCAACAATTATGAAGAGTCAACTGTATGCTAAGCTCTAAGGCATTTTTACATATATTGCTTTACTAAATAAGTTACCTCAACAACCTTTATGAGATAAATATTATTATTTTCATTTGACTGCTGAGGAAACCAAGAATCAAAACCTTTAAGTACATTGCCCAGGATCAAGGTGGCAGTGAGGAATGGAGCCAAGAACTAGTATCAGAGCCCTGCTCTGGTTCCAGGAGTGATTTTCATAGCCATTGTGTTAAAATGCCTGTTTAGACAGTGGTCTAACTTATTTATTGACATTTTCAACTTCAGTGGTTACAATTATAATTGTCATTTTTTAGTACAGTTTGCATTTCTCCCTGATCTTCTTGAGGCATCATTTTAGAATATACATTGCTGAAATGTAGAATTTCAAGCACATTTTAAATTCTCTACAATATTTGCATAACTCATAACACTTTTCTTCATTGCTCCCACAAGCACCAAGATAATTCTTTCCTCCAACCCTCTGCTCATGCTGTTATCCCCACCTGAAATGCCCTCTTACAAATCCTACTAGCTGAATTCTTGTTTCCATTTAAGACCTCCCCGAATTATTCTAGCACCAGAGAACCATCATTTCTTAGAATTAATAAT